CGAGCGACGCCTATCCGCGTAGCTCTTCTGACGACTCTGAGCCGTCAGCAATCTCTGCCTGACCTGCTGAATCTGCTCAGTTGTCTGAAGCACTATCTTTGTGCTGCCCATCACACGCTGCCCGACCTCTCCCCAACAAATAGGGGTCTGACACCTCCTCCCATACAATAACTCGAATGGAGGCATACCAATGTTCGAATGATGGTTGTTGTTATAAGAAAACTCGGCCAATGGCAGATACGTGTCCCAACTTCCCTCGAAGTCCAACACACATGCCCGAAGCATATCCTCGAGCGTCTGAATCGTCCGCTCACTCTGACCGTCCGTTTGTGGGTGGTATGCGGTACTAAAATGCAGCCTCGTACCCAACTCCTCATGGAATTTCTTCCAGAATCTGGAAGTGAAACGCACATCTCGATCTGGAACAATCGAGACCGGAACTCCATGCCGCGATACCACCTCCCTTACGTACAACTCCGCCAGCCTCTCAGCAGAAGAGCTCTCACTGATAACAAGGAAATGAGCGCTCTTCGTCAACCGATCGACGATCACCCAAATTGCATCGACGCCTCTCGCAATCCTCGACAATTTGGTGATAAAGTCCATGGAAATTTGTTCCCACTTCCACTCGGGAACCTCTAATGGCTGTAACTTGCCATGCGGACGCTGATGCTCAGCCTTGACTCTGCGACAGGTCAAGCATCTCTCTACAAACCACGCGACATCCCTCTTCATGCAGGGCCACCAATATTCTCTCTTCAGGTCCAAATACATCTTAGTGGCCCGGAATGGATCGAAAACCTCGATCTATGCGCCTCCTCCATCAAAATGGTACGTGCCCCACCCTCAAACGGCACCCAAATCCGACCCTGAAAGGTCAAAAGCCCTCGGCTGTCGGCAACAAACTCAGACGCCTGCCCGACTACCCGCTCTCTCTTGCGGTTCTCTGGTCTCATGGCCTCAACCTGGGCCTCCCGGATGGTGTCCAACACCGGAGTCATCACTGTCATTCTCATACAAACGTCTCATATCGGGGCACTCTCCGCCCTACGACTCAGGGCATCGGCTACAACATTAGCCTTGCCCGGGTGGTACAGGATCTCGCCCATTCAATAAGGTTAGATAAAACTGAAGTCCGGTAGACAGTGGAATGTGTGATTTCTGCCTTACTTCCTGTTCCTTGTTTGGTTGTGGGCTTAGGGAAGATTCACCCATTCAACTGTCTGTTCGATCTCGGTTATATACAACTCGTATGTACTAAGTGATCATAGGAGGGTAGTATCATCGTATCAGGTATTCAGGGTAAACAAGTCTTCAGCCAGCGTAACTAATCCACAAAACGAGATATCATTAAAGTAAATACTTGTACTTTTCGGTCTTGGAACGAGTAAGACTACCAGTTGGTTTTATAGAAAATATAGGATTTTCTATGGTAAACATCGTTATTTAAAGGTGATCAGTTGTCGATAGAACTTTCTAAAAACAATAACAATTATTACTGAAAACAACGTTTTACATTAGAGTAAATGGAATTATGAACCTTATTACAAAAGGTTCAACTCTTGTTAACAAACTAGTATAAAATAAATGACCTTTAATGGTTAGTTATATAATTCCTTAGTTTATAAATCAAAGTTATACATAAATGATACCCGATAGGCAGTGGAATGTGTGATTTCCGCCTTACTTCATGTTCCTTGTTTGGTTGTGGGCTTAGGGCAGATTCACACATTTAAGTGTCCGTTCGATATTAGGTTATATATAGCTAGTATAAACTAAGTAATTGTAGAAGGAACTATTGTGGTTACCATTTTACTAAAGGAAATATATGATTTTCTTAAGGAATATTTTCATCAAATAATAAAGAACTATTACAGTTAACTCCGTAAGCACCTGGTGAATACGTCAGGGTTATATACAATGAGGATCTAACAAACAATGGAATATGTGACTTCCGCCTCATTTCATGTTCCTTGTTTGGTTGTGGGCTTAAGGCAGATCCACACAATCGATTGTCTGTTTGATCTGGATTGTATATAACTTGTATTCATTAAGTACTCATAGAAGGAATTGTAAGATTCATTTTTACTTATCATGCATCATATCAGAAAATATAGGATTTTCTGGAGGAACAGACGAACTTTTCTAAAGAACATTAAGTATAACTTTTCTAACAAAAATACTTATAAACTCACCAGCTTAAATGTCGATCTACTCTTTCAAAACAACTTGTATTCTCAGGAAACTAGTAGACAGGTACGCGCACTGGGATTCAGAAGATGGAGCATAGTAGCTTCTTGTCCTTGTTTTGTTATTTACTTTTGTAGTCAATCTTTTGTGAATCGAATACAATGTAAACCTTTAATATTAATGCAATGGTTGTTGTTACTTTGATTATTATGATGCATGTGTTGTGATACTGAGCATGACGTCCTCCGCCCCCGAACGTTTCCGTCGTTCCGGTTTGGGGGTGTGACAGTAATAGGAAAGGATGGTAACAATAAGTATATCTTATTGCATGGGAAATTGTTGTTATTGAGTACAAGGTTAATTGGAAATGGTTTGTGGAATTAGTTAATGTGGATCTTGGCCTGTAGGGTGGAAGTGGAGTGGGTATAATTTCTGATCAATATAAGATATGTTTTTGGTCAAATTATTATTTCAAAATTGTGTCTTTTATTTACTAATTTATTTCTTTAATACATTATGGGGGTTGATTGAAGCCACAAAGAAAATATTACCATATCTAGAGCACAAACAATGTGGGAGACACATATATGCTAACTTTAGGAAGACTTTTAGTAATGTCGAATTCAAACATGTTTTAGCTAGAAGCATTTTCTACCATGGAGGGTGATTTTCTGACGAAAAAAATAGAGACGAAATCAATATGGTGAGTGTTAGTGCTTATGATCATCTTCAATAAAGAGATCCTCAAATATGGTGCATGGCTTTCTTTAGGGGTGAAATAGCATGTGATGCAGTTAAAAATGAAATTGTAGAGTTCTTTAACGTTATTATAATTGCTAGAAAGAAACCCCTATTGACTATGCTTGAGGAAATTAGGTTTGTGAATGATGGATAGATTTTATCATATGTTAGAAAAGGAAGAGAAGTGGGACTCTAAAGTTTCTACAGCTGCAATTATACACGCTTTTGGAGAGGACTTGAGGTTTGTAATCTTTCTATTTTTCTTTTAAATTGCACAAGTACTAATTTTAAGTACTATTTTCATTGCAGGAATTGTCATGTATACCCAAGTAGACTAACTGATGTTGAAGTAAGGAATGGTTATGCTTATGTTGTTGATTTAAAAGGACATGTATACACTTGTAGACTCTGGGAGATGTCAAGTATTCCTTATGTACATGCATAAGCATTAACCCTTTTATATATTATTGGGCAAGATCATGTGAACTTTATCAATATGTGGTTTGATGTAAAGAAGTTCAAGGCAACATATGCAACTAACTTACTACATGTTAATGGAAGTAGCTCGTCACTTAGAACTGCATACACCAAACCTTTGCCCTTTTTAGTTGGAAGGATGTTCAATAGACCAAGTGTACAAAAAAAAGGTATGCAAGTAAGTCTAGTGATGAAGGGGTGGCGGTAGATGATCTAGAGGTGGCAGAGTGATAGCTAAAGCCGAAGGTAAATAGGTTAAGCATGGTGTAAAAGGGAAGAGCACTACTACAGTTGGGCAGTGGTGGAATTAAAGAAACTAATGTAATCGAATTGCAATAGACTATAAATAATATGAAAAAAAATCCAAATACTCAAATGAAGAAATTATGCATGCCCCTAATACCACAAAAAAAGAATTTGAAGATAGCTTTGGTGACAAAGATATTTTGTTGATGTGCCTACGTCCACAAAAATCATTATATTCTTAAGAGAGTTTCTACTCCTCAAAGTTTACACATGACTTCAACATCTAGTACGTCAGGTGGGTAAATGAAGTGAACGGGGATGTGGTTGTATTCACGATTTTACAACCTAAACTCATGAACTCATGAGCTAGATACTTATTTTGAGATAATAGTTTAAAAGAAAAAAAAAACTTTGTCACGTATGTATATTAGTGTTGCAAAAATGAATAGGAACAAGAGTTTGTTCATGTTCCTTTGTTTAAGTTCACAACACAACCAATATGTAGATCGTACTTTGCAGTGTCTCTTTGAACATAAACAAATGTTCACAAACACAGATAACGGATGTCATTTATTTAACTAAACGAAAAAAAATTATTCATATTTATTTATTTATTAAATAAATAAATATAAAAGAACTTTCCACCGAATGGTTTGCTAACCCGTTTGGTTGGTTTGTTTTACAACCCTATATATAATGCTTGCAATTTTGCTAAGTATCACAGTTGTACAAATTATCATCGTCACATTAAAACCGATGAAATACCTGCTTTTAGCTAAGGCAGACAACAAAAGGTATATTACTTAACATTAAAGTTGAATTTAAATAAATCCTTACTTTATGCAATTAGACCTTTCTAAACTATCACGATCTTTTTGATACATTTCTTCATTTTAAGTAGCTTTCAACGTTTACAACAGAAGCAATAAATTATAACTTACATCCCTATACTAAATATGAGTCGGCGAGTTCATCAATATAAAAATTTAAATGTAGCACGAGTCATCCGGTTCATGTGAGGAAACAAACCCACCAATAATTCATGCTTTATGTTACAAAAAATTGAGGCTAATATTACTTTCACATGCACATCATTCTTTTTTCATATACCAATTTCATACATTTCATATAAAAAATGGTCCAATCATCTACAAAACAAATTGTTTATTTCGAAAACCGTACTCTTATTCTAATTTTTCCTATCATATTTAATATATCAATTATTTATAAAACTTAAAATAAAAACAAGAGTTTTAAAGTTTAATGCATACCTATACAAACTACAATACTCCAACTTCTTTTAACAAAAAAAAAAAAAAAAACAAAAAACAAAAAACAAAAAAAAAACCAAGGAAAACCCACCGACCCACTTACTTCACTTACTAATCCCATGAGACCCCAAATCCGCCGCCGCTTGCGCCGCCCTACTCAAAGCACCCGACATCCAAAGAGCACCTTTTGAAAAATAACTACTATTAACCACCGTAGTAGCGGCGGCAGCCGCCGTCCTTCCAGTGGCCGACACAACCGATTTAGTTGTATCCAATATATGATACCTTTGGTCAACCGACCGGACCGCCTCAACTCCGGCAAACACCTTGTCGGTCAACCCCATCCGCTCACTCAACTCCGCCACTTTTGCCGCCGCACTGGCAGAAACCTGATGTGACTCATCGAATTGTTTGGCTTTTCCAACAGCATCTTTGCCTAAAATGTAGCCTTTCGCTATCATCGTTTTCACCACATCTTGAGCTAATGTCACCGCTTCGCCAGCTGTGTATGCGTATTGGTCTGCGTGTATCTGTCATGATTGATAGAGAGATTGTATTTGTATCGCCTCAAGTCCAAAATTACTGATTGACAGTAGACATTTGACAGTTGTACCACCAATTTTAACTTATACAAATTAATATATTAGAAATTTAATTAAAATACTAAGACTGTGTTTGGTAAACTAATTGAAAAGCTAGTTGCTAGCCGGTTAAAAAACAAAGTTTGGTAAACTAACTGACAACCTAGCCGAAATATGTAAAATGACATAAAAGGGCATGTAGAAGATTGAGTTTTTTATTTTATAATTAATAAAGGGTATATCTGGAAGAGTTAAAAAGCCTACTCCAATGTTAAAAAGCTTTTTTTTTTTAACCCAAAAAGCATATGAAAAAGATGTCATTGGAGATGCTCTTATAATCTGCCTTGCTCTTTTATCCATGTGGGACGAGTTTTTACAGTTTTATAGCTAATGAATATTTTTGTATATAAAGAGAAAGATATGTTACATTTGAACTACTCCCGTCATCATGTGAAAACGACTGCTGGTTCCAAAACTCGGGTTCGTCCACATCTTGTCCCCATCGCGTTATGCAAATGGTTTGATCCAAAAGTGTGGCTCCCTAAAAGAGTTTGAAAATATTAAGGTTTAATAATTGTTGTTTTAATGTCCTGAGGTGACCACATGAGAAGAACTTACACTAAGTAAGACAGCTGTTTCCAGAGCGTACGCGTCCTTAAAGGTTACGTAAGCCGTACACGCGTATTCCCCCGCCCTGTTAGATAAAAAAAAGTCTAATTATATTATACTTGTGTGGAATAGGGACTTGTTTTGTCATTTTCCCTTTCTTAGCTTAAGCATATATATTATTTTTCCTTTTAACTTTCATAACTATTAACTTTTACTTGATAGGTTATAGTTCTATTTACTAACTACACCAAAAGAGTTGTTAACTTAACTCAATTCACATAATAATAAGTTATGAAGCGAATGGGATAGATCCATAATTAGTAAGAGAAGTTTATAAAAATATAATAAAATGAAATCACCTCACAATATCAACATGCTCGATTGCGCCACAAAAAGCAAAGAAATTGTAAACATCTTGATCCGTTGCCCTAGGGGAAAGGCCTGTAACTTCAACAATATGTTCTAGAGTCATATCCAAATCTGTTAAATTAAAAAGATCATTCATTAGTCATTAACATGTACATAAATAACCAACATATGTATCAAAAGGTTGTGTTTTGCCTTGATCTACATATATAAAAGAGTAGAATAAAAGGCAAAAACAACTACAAGTCTTTTACACCAAATTAGATGGGTAGAGAGGTAGACGAACATGAAACAGAAGAAATCAAAAAGTCCTGATAATCATTAATCAACCAAGAAAACAAATAAACACCCAATTGTAGATGGATTCTAAAAGAGAAGATACTGCAAAATCACTTTTGTGATTCTAATCCTCAGATTCAAGATGCAACTGAATTTGAATCAACATTCATTAGCATAATTATTATACGATGTTACTGCTGCATCTCAATAAAAAAGAAAAGGGATTCAAGAAAATGTTCTTCTCAATCAAATTCCTTTATGGAACCTTGCAAACCCTAAGTAATTTCAATAACACGTACTGTATTGTCAACTTAATTTTGGTAATTGGTAATCACATTAACAGATTTACAGATCGACTGATGTTCTTCAAAAAAGGATTCAACAGTTACCTTCAATAAAGTTCACACAGTGCATCAATCAGTCAAAATCAAAATCAAAAACATGAACGAGCTGATAGAGTAGCAAAAGATCGTATTAAATCAAAAGATTACATCAGATAATATAGGAATCAACTCGATCCATCGGTAACGTACCTCTTATCTTTCAGTGATATGGCGAGATCTTGCGAGAGAGTGGAGTCGATTGCTAGAACTAGAAGTTTCTGCACAAATAATCAAGGACAACTTCACACGTTGAAACAGGATACGTGGATGAAATTAATTGGTGATTACAAACCCGGTTTTTTAATTTTTTTTTTTTTTAAAGACCAGCTGTTGCAAATCCGGAGTCTTTGTTTTAGATCCTATACGAAAGGACTTTCTTTATATTCTTTTTCATATCAGCAAATGTAAAATTTCGGGGGATTTTAGGAAGTCGGCAATATTTATAAAAATGGTCCTTGTTTAATTGAAAAAGTATAGAAATGGTCTTTTAAGTTTCATAAAATTACATAAATGGTCAGTAATGAATTTATTGTCCTTAAATTTAAAAAACTAAAAATATGTCCCTTCATTTCACAAAAAACGAAATGGACTCTGCTTAATTGAAATATTACAAATTGGTACTATAAAATATTACAAAGTTGGTACTATATTTCACAGAATTACATAAATGGACATGCATATTAGGGAATTTACATAAATGGTTTCTATGTTTCTAAAAGTTACATAAATGGTCCCTTCCTAACAACGAATTTACACATTATTACATAAATGACTCATGCCTAACAAAGAAATAACATAAATGGTCCCTATGTTTCATAAAGTTACAAAAATGATCCATGTTTAATAGCGAATTTATAAATAGATCCATACGTTTCATAAAAATTATAAGATTAGACACTATGTAAAAGACAACCCAAACGTACTTTACCCTATCTTTGGGAGGCCTTAAATGTGATATAAAAGGTAAAATGTTACAAGTTGTTATCAAAGTCATAATTTAAGCAAGTTAGGTGTTGTGAGGCTTGAGTGAAAATACCTACTTAGGATAAGATCATATGATTTACCATAAGATAAGTTGTTAAACCTAAGAAATTAAGATATGATTATACATTATCATGCTTATAATAACATTAGATCACTAACAGATTCTATGCTTAATAATTA